AAGCGCTGCCTTCGCTCGTCGGGGTCGTCTTCGCCCATCCGCCGCCGACGCCCACCTGTAGGCTGCGCTGGAGATACCTGCAGGGAGGACAGGGCACGGGGTAAGGAGGAAGCAGAGAAACAGGGGAGGGGAGAGGAAGACAGACGAGAAAGAAAAAGGGAAGTTTGAGTCATAGTTTCATTATTTTGGTCAGAGAACATTGTAGTCATCTCATTACTAAGAAGTACAGCCACATTTTCTCTAAGTCAAAAAGGTGACATGTCATTCATCCAAAAGGCACAAGCTCAGTTATTTACACATTTCCAAATCTAACAGATCAACAAGTCTTAAGGAAGTTCGTCAAATCCACTCTTCGAGACGATTCAAGACATCCTCTAACGTTTTTCTTATTTGTAATTTGTTCTTACCGAAGAACGGATTATAAGTACACTGCTCAAAGGTTTGTGCAAAAGTATTAAGAGACTACGTTTTCATCATTTTTACCATGATGATCTTATATCATAAAAGTTTAAAATTACAACATTATTTTTCATTTATAGTGGTCTTTTCAGAATTATTTTCAATATTGTTACAAAGGGTTTTTGCATATAATTAAACACAACAACAATGATTTTCTTGTGCTACTTTACATCCTCTTCTGAGTGACGCCTCTAAATATAACCGCTCTATTGGCAGTCACTTCCTGCAGTAGGGACTTCACAAGTTTTCTTTGTACCTCCATCCTCTTTATACTTCAGTTTGCAGATTCTTGCGTTAATGCTTTAATTTGTTCTTTTAGGTTTCTGTGTGTGCACACGGCCCTGCAGTCTCATGCCCTTATTGGACTGGATCAAGTGGCACTGTTGCTTTCTCTTTACGAAGACAATGTGATTCATTGTTATAAGACCACAGTGGCAGCATGTACCTGAGGTTGTGCAGGTGATGGAGCGTCTGGATGTTGGACCAGCAGCTGGCTGTGCTCCGCCCTCTGAGGGGCCATGGGGCTGCCTCCCATGGACATGGCCCCCATGCTGTACCCTAAGGGGCTGTGCTGTGACAGGGCAGCCTTCAGACGCTGCAAGAAGACAGTTTGATCAATAACAAGCACACCTGCAGCTCAGTGACACAATCGACATGCAATACATCTGTTTTTATGCTACATCTCTGGTGGTTTTGTAACATATTTAAAGAAAAAGACTATTCTTTGGGCATGTATTGTTACAAAGGAGCTCTTATTGTGCATACATCTGCGCCCTTGCTGCTGATCTGACAGTGACACACAGTTTCAGCTCTTTTTCATCAGCAGCATTTCATGTGACATCCTATTCTGTCTCCACCCTTTTGTTCTGGGTTCAGCTCTGGAGGCTTTGTAGCTAAAAGCCAAATAAGGTTATAGGTTCCCTGAACAATTTTCAGAAGATGTTGCTTTGTGATATGGCTTCTTAATTTAGTAGCCAGTAATGATTTAGAGAACATCTGATCGTGGCAGTGAAGGCACAAAGCATTTTGACAATCATTATATGGTAGATTTTGGTTCCATTATGATTTGTAATTATTCCAGTACGTATGTATATTTGTGTAATGTCTTACAAGCTCTGATCATATATTTCCGAGTGTTGTTCCATCAAATTATTAGTTTCTTCAGTCCCTGTATTTCATTCTCGGTGAGGGAGTTAAGCAACATTAGGCTGCTATTTAGTTTTATGATGTTATCACCCTTAAAATAAAGTGTTAATTAAGTTATATTAAATGGGTTAGTCTTCATTTATTAGATTGGAGGAGAGTTTGTTGTTGGCGATGACCGCAGTGATAATGTCTTGAATTTTGGAAATGATTGGAGTTGTTAGAAATGTTTGGATCACAGAAGTAATTCTACATACTGTAGCCACCACTGAAATATGTATCTCATCTTTACCTACCACAGTGAAGAAACACCGGGGTTTCAAAAATAGTGAATATAACAGTAGGATGGAAGCTTAAACTACTCCTTACAGCCCAAACACAATTACATTACACTTGAATTGATTGAAGGCGCATCCGGTGTGCAAATGGCAGATACCACCAAAGGAGGCACTTTGTGTATGTGCAATACTGCACACACTCACTTAGTCTTATCGTAAATACTGTTGAAACATGGAGCTCTGCGTTACTTTCAGAATCAGAACAGATTGTGTTGTGCTGGAAGGGTTAAATAAACAAGGAATTGCAGTAATAGTCATATGATGATCCAAGTGAGCCAGTGCAGAAGAAAGGCTGCAGGGTGAAGATGGAGACAAAAAGAACAGATAAAGAAATATAAAAATAGAGAGCTTATCGAGTGCTGACCATCTTGGCCTCTGAGTGGATGCTGTAGCCAGAGGGGGAGTTAGAGCCACTGCTGCTGCCTCCCAGAGGGGGGCCGGGCATCCCAGGAATGTTGGGTACCATGCACATGGGGCGGGCCAGCTGCAGACCAGAAAAGATGCGCAAAGAAAAATGTGTTAACAACTTGAACTAACTTCTTAGCTATAATATGAACATATCTAGACTGATGGTTGGCCTTACGTTAATGACAGAAGGTATGTGCATTGGACCAGGGAGCAAAGGCACGGCCTGACCAGAGGGAAGCATCATCATGGGGTAGTGGCTGGTCGGCGAACTACACGGGCACACAGGAACAGGAAGTTAAGTCAAGTTTAGATTGCAATTTGATACCACAAAGTGTTTGTAACATAGCTAGTATCGACAAGAGGCAGAACAATTAACCGCTTCAACATAACATCCACACTTACATCCATCAGTACTCGTCCAAGCTGTGCATACAAAGACTTTTAAAACTCACAGAATTGTATATCACATGTAATTGTTTTCTTAATATATGTTGATGTCAGATTAAATGCACAATGAGTGAGGCTTTGGTGAAAAACATGGTGCATGAAACAACTTACACAAAAACAAAAAACGGACTGTCTGTAAATTGTGCTTCAAAATGATCTCGATTAAAATTACAATTCACCATATTATCTTGATAAACATCATATATGCTTCAACGTTTTTAAATGGCGTGAACACATACTGGAATCAAACAAACAAACAATGAAAAAATTCGAGATGAAATAAAATAATCGCAACATTGTGTTGTGTTCTTTCATTCATGATAATTCTTGTATTTTGAAGGCTCTATTTTTCACTTCTATAATTGTATAGCAAGCTAAACTGCTCTTTCAATTCACTCACGTGAGGATATTATCCTGAGAACGGAACTACACCTTGATCAACATGTTTGTTCATTGTGATCCACCTATTTGGTCCCTTTCCTGATGAAGTGAAAGGATGTAGAACTGCACTCACCACAGGGTACGATTGGAGGGCGGGGTTTGTGTGATGACGGAGGTGGGAGACGGCATGGTGGGATGAAAGCCATCAAAGCCCAGGTGTAGTGGGAGGGAACCTGGACGCATAATAGTCGGGGTGGGGGCTGAACTCCTGGGTGGTGTGTCCTGGGAGAGTAGTACATCATGTAAGGAACCGCCCTTCTCTCTACACACTATACTGACAACCCCCTCCCCCATTGTGTTTGCTCTAACCTGAGGCTCTATGCTGTAGTCTGAATCATCAGAGAAGGAGTCGGGGCTGCTTGGAGGCGAGGAGTCCACCTCTACAGGTTCCTCTTCTTTCACCTTCACCTCTGATGAGGCCTGCATTCTCATGTCCACAGCCACTGAGTTAGGAGCAGGGTGCTGAACAAAAAAGGTCAGTGAGATGAGTTCACATGACTTATAGAAGAGACTCCCGGACTACAGCACATTAAAAGAGGAAGCTGGTATTTATCACACAAACAGAATAAAAACTGCTGGAGTTATAAGTGAAATAAAATCCCATTTAAATACATTAATTGGAAGAAGCTGTAGCAACAGTTTGAATTATTATTCAAAAAAGGGCGACTGTGGCTGCGAGGGAGTGCGGTCGTCTTTCAACCAGAAGGTTGTGGGTTCGATCCCAGCCCATGCAGTCAACATGTCGATGTATCCTTGAGCAAGATACTTAACCCTGAGTTGCTCCCGATGGCATGGCCAACGGTGTGTGAATGTGTATGCATGTTAGTGCATGTCCTAACATACACTGCTCTGTATGAATGGGTGTGAATGGGTGAACGATATGTAGTATGTAAAGCGCTTTGAGGGGTCTTAAAGACTGGATAAAGCGCTATATAAATACAGTCCATTTACCATATTATGACACACATACAAAGCGCACAAGGAATTTCTGCTAGAGACATCATCAACTCATTGAGGTTAGAGAAAAGGAAGTAAAAAGTAACTTTTCATTAGACACAAACACACGTACAGGTAAAAAAAAGTCATTGACCCCAAGCTTCTCTTACAGAGTTCTTTGCTCTCTTTTCATCATCGTCGTGATTGAAGGAGTTGTCCAGCTCGTTAAACAGACCGACCTCCTCGCAGTTCTTTAGGAAGCGGGTGGGAGTCGGAGTCTGGTCTGGAGAAGAGGAATGCAAAGAGATAATGTGTTCACACTTAGCTAACACTTAGCATTACATATACTGTACAAACCCCTACGTATGATAATCAGAGGTATGCTAAACAGTTTTTTAATATTCATTGGATTTACATCTTTAAAATGTGTTTTTTCAAAAGGCTCAAATACACAATAAATATGGTTTAAAATAAAATCATAATAACAATATAAGTGTAGCCTTATTTGTATCTGCAAATGTAAAGGAATATAATATTTAAACCAGATTTAAAAAGCTGTGCAGCATTTAAATGTAGATTTATAATTTGAATGTCAACATGAAGGAAGTTTTAAAGCTTCAAACTATCCAATACAACCCTATTAAAACAGTCTGTATTTGAATGCATGGAACATATATTTAACAATAGCAATGCTTTTATATAGTATCAAATGAAAACAGTACCTGCAATAATGACTGAGTCAGTTCTGGCTGGTCCAAATTTCAGAGTCATCTCATGCTTGTGTTTGTGTACAGCCAAGTGGTCCTCATTGGTAAACCTCTGGAACAAGTAAGCAAGAAACAAAGAGGAAAAGTAAGTACATTATATGAATTAGCGTACTTAATTGTCTACTTGTTCTGTTGACTTTAGGAAATAGTCCAGGGCTCGAGCTTAAGGACGTCCCGTCGTCCCGGGGCCGAAAAAAATAGTGTCGGGGAGGATACAAAATAATTTTGGGACGAATTTGGGACGAGAGTTAAAATAAAAATACCCTGCTAACTCTATTACAAACGGCGATGGAAATGAAACCGACTGCACGTTTTGTGTAGCACACAGTTATTAAACCTCCTTGTCAACATAAACACACACGCACAAAACATTTAGAAACCCGCGAAATACACACACATGTAGCTACAGCTGTGCCGCTGGCTGTCAGCCAGCCGCCCAGCTGGCTGTGCCCTCGAATTCCTGGCCCGCAAATTCGCGGGTCTAGCTATGTACTGAGTGTGTGTATTTCGCGGGTTGAGTGATGTACAATGGCATCCCGTGGAGGAATTCTGAAATGTTTTACCGTTACATCACAAAAACGCACAGCAGAACCAGACCCTGGAACGCCGGCCTCTTTATTTACTTACTCCTCTTCATCCCCTATGGGTAATAAGGCTGAGATGAGAACTCTCCATCGTATTTAGTCCTTAGCAATATGCTGCGCCTCTCCCCATGTAGGGATGGGTACCGAGCCCCGGTATTAAACGGGCCCCGGGCCGGAATTATTAAAGACAGTGGTAACGTTAAGCTCCGACGTTATCGGACTTGTTATCGGTACTGGAGACATTTAAAAAATATATATGTATTATTGCTACATACACATTAGGCTATATCGCAGTTTTAGTTTCGCCAACTCCGTTTCTAATATGCAATAAGACTACAACATGCGTCTATGATATATTTTCGAGCTTTCCAATCCAGACGAGATTTCTCTCTCCCGTCTGTGTGCGAGGGGGCGGGACGTTTGTAAAGAGGCTTGTTTGAGACAAGCGAGACCTGCGCAGACCTGCGCAATTTCGATCAACGTCTTGCTCGTGCGTTGCATGATGGTTAGTCATTTTGTCCGACTTGCTCTGGAGGCTCGCCTACATGAGACGTTGAAATCTCGCGGGACAAAGACGCCCGCAGCCTTGAGAGCGAGGCGCGGCGAGGCGGCGCAGTTGCTCTCCACGGGCTGCGGAAGCGAAATGCTTGATGGGAAACGACTCGCTGGTATCTCGAGCTGAGCGCTCATTGGTGGTTTTTTCCACGTGCTGCTGATGAAACTCTCCAATTGGCTCGGCAAAATGTTGTTGTTGTTTTGTGTCCGTTTTACGTCGCCACTTCCATTCACATTTTTCATCATTGTTCCACAATATTTATCATCATTAAATTAATATCCATATATTTTATACTATACTTGCACTGCTTACCGTTTTCATACTTTATATATCTTAGCATATTCATACACACTGTTCATACTGCTCTCAGGCTGCTGTGTATATCTAGTGTATTCATACCCCTCACTGTTTATTCATCATTCAATTCATTCTATATTTTATTCTGTAGATTGTGTACATTACTTTTCACTTTACTGCTTGTTGCACCTGGTTAGAAGCTAAACTGCATTTCGTTGTCTCAGTACCTGTAATATGTGCAATAACAATAAAGTTGAATCTAATCTTGAGCAGGAACAAATGTATTTACTTAGTACATATCTGACATTAACGATTAAACACATGTGTGCATTCTTTATAAATGCAAACCGAGTCAAGCCGACTTCGGAGGTGGCGGTATGCACCTTAAAGTTGTTTGCAATCCGCCAAAAAACCGAGAGAAGAAGAAGAAGACGAAGCCGACTCTGAGCATGGACTCCGAGCTGTCCGACTTCAGGCGAGCTTTTTGAGACCTCCCCCGGCTGCGATCGGCTATTCTCGTCTACTTTCGAGGCGAGCCGCAACGCGTCTCAAACAAGCCTAAGGTCTCCTGACTGTGTTACAGACTGTCATCCTGGTTAGTGGTTACTCTGGGTTCTGTCTTCAGGACAGTGTTGGATTTTTTTGTTAATTGGATGGGACTTGATTGGAGTCAATATTAGAGTAATTTTCTCATTTGTGTGTTTGTTTAAATATATTTGGCCTTTGTTTATGTGATTGAATGATTTACTCAAATAAAAAAGTTGATGAATTATCATCTAATGATTTGTATGATGTTTTATTTATGTTAAAGGTCACTTTGAATGATTTTAACTAATGATAATGTAGAAAAACTAACATTTTAAATTCGGGACGGTCCACATTAATTTCGGGACGGCTTAGATTGTATTTCGGGACGGTTCCGGGAGGATGGGGGAAAAAGTTAGTCGAGAGCCCTGGAATAGTCTCTTGGAGATGTCGACCAAGGCATGCAGCATGTAGCTTACTGTATACATATTGAGACAGACCATGCAGAGCACTGTATGTGTGGTGTACTATTCCTCATGTCTAATAGCCCTAAATTGGTCCATTATAGCCGCAGCACATGGGCTGAAATATCATTACACAAACTAGAGTTATTTAGAAAAAGGAAAAGGGCTTGTGTTGATGGTTTGAACAGCACACAAATGCAGGGCTGGAGCAATGGTTGAGAATGGCAACATATTGTAGAAAAATGATGATAAGCATGGGAAAATAGCAAGCGCAAATGAGTTGACAACAAAATATGCAAGTGGAAGCTACAAGAGGTCGGCCACTTGCATATCAGACTTTTAGATAGAGCACCATTGTCTGAGACACAGCACTTCTTCTTTTGACAAGTGGCGAGGTGAATCAGTCAGAGACGTAGGAGGGATAATCCTGGCTCTGGTGCCGGCCTATTCACCAGTCGCTGCAGCCTATTTTTGGGGGCTGCGTTGCCGTTGCGAGTTCAGTCGAGAGAGAGCGAAGTGGAAACACAGTCAAGTGTCAGGGGGCTTATTTTTAGCCCTACCAGGCAGCATCACCAGTACAACTACATGTCTCTTTCCTCTGAACAGGGCGACTGGAGGAAACTATCTCTGACTAATCTCCCTGTATGAGACACTGGCAGATAGGATTACTCCCCAGTCCACACAGTTCATGCTGGGCATCGCAAAATGGGGTGCCACTGTTGTTGTTGTTGTTGTTGACTTGGTAAAAGGAAAACCCCAGGCCAAGCCAAGAGTCAATCATCCTGGTTCTATTATGGGCATGATTCAGCCTTTCCTGGTAGACAGCTGTTGCTTGTAAAGGGCAGAGGTAAAATGTCATTTAGACATAAGGCGCTCGTAACATAAAGGATGTTCTGTGTCTAAATGTACATAAATAAATATTGTGAAAGATGATTGATATAAATGCAGCGCATGTCTGAGCTTCATAACAAGTTGTATGGTTCTTAAGCTGATATATTATCTAAGGCTTTGTATTGAACCCACACGTATCAATATGTTTACATTACCCTTGGATCGAAACAAATGCAATTTGTCAGGATTGTTTTAAATAAATCAACTGTGTGCAACCTGCACTTAACTGCAGACATGCGGTTTACAAACCAACACTAGCTCCTGAACATGGTGGACATTTAGCAGCTACAGAGCGAGATGCATATACTCTACCACCGTCCTGTTAACGTGACATTTATCCAATTAAAATACTACTAAAATGAAGGATAAGGATATGTTTGACGTTTTATTTATGTATGTTTTAGCCTTTTATTTGAACTTGCTTTATTTGATGTCTAAGATACACATTTTGATATGACTTGCATTATTTTGCCCTTCTCTTTATACTTCGAGGAAGCCTGAGATCCACAAATGTTTTATTGCCAACGACTGCTTTACTATAATTGTTGCTTTTATGATATTAAAGAACTTGGAAGATAAAGATATTACTGGTGGGAGTTGACCGATACCAATACAGAGTTAAAAAGAGACTATTAGATTAACATTTCTATTAGATTAACATTTCTCACATTGACAGGAACATGACTCAACATAAATGATGAAGTAGCTGTTAAACAGGCAACTGTTTGCAAAGATGTTCACAGTGACATGTATAGCACAGTTATCTTCACTATGCCTCGGAAAGCTTCCACATGATTCTGTTGTTTTAACTGACTACTAAATTAATAATCTACAAATGAAATATGTAGATTGTTTGCATCAAGGAAGGACATCAAATGGAAGGCAAACATGTCCATGGGTGGGGTCCCTAGGTGTCCATAATGTTCTGAGATGAAAATAAGCAAACAGATCTTCATTTATTTATCCAACATCTGCATGTTTAACTGCATTACATGTCTGCTCAAACCGCAAATCCCATGATCCTCCTGATCACAGGAAGACGGCTCATGAATCACAAATGTTTCTGAACCACATAAATACTTTCTTGCTCTAGACTCCAGGAGAGATAATGTATCACTAGCTGAGGGTATCACACCCAACTGAACACAGGACCAGACATGATGTTTCCTGTGTTGAATAATCATGAGTCCTAGAATTATTATTTTTTGATTTGCTGTGATATCGGGCCAAACCCCAGCCATGCACCACGTTACTGGCATGTGAGAGAACTATTGGCACTCAGCTGAGTCACTGCCGTGGCTCTAACCTGTGTCTGCAGGCGTTGAAAGTCAACAGTGACAGGTTGAAACAATAACTGCGCTCTGATTACTCACTGGAGCCTCCACTGAGTCACGGCTGAAGGAGACTGTCTCACAAGACAGCATGTTAGCTATCTGTGTGATGATCATTAAGATTGTCGCCTAAATCACAGCCGGTTTGCTTACTCTGGCTATGAAACAAAAGTGAAAATAGCTATAGTTTTTAAAGTTCTCTCGTTGTATACATGAAGCTTTATTCTATTCAAATAACTGACTTGATACATTCAATCAAAACGAGTTACAGTCAACTGTTGTAGAGTACTTAAACAAAGCATAAATAACCCACACCACACATACATGCACTTATCTGATAGCTAGAAAAAAACAGGCAGAAAGCTTACCTGTCCACAGCCATGAGCGTTGCACACAAAAGGTCGGTCGTCCCCCATTTTTGCGAAGAACTTGCAATGTAACTGTGGAAGAGGAGAAGAGGAGAACATTGCTGCCTTTTCCTTTCTTGATTTGTGAAGTGGCAAATCCAGAAAACAACGGGATGCTGTGGCTTGTAGTCTTTAGTCTGAGCAGGAAGCCGAATGCTGATTTAAAAATAACCCTGGCAAAGGAGGAAAACAGGCACAGAGGCAGCGAGACTAAGTTTCCCTGGTGATACTTCCTTCACACAGGGGGGCTCCTGGTCTGCGAGCGAGGAGCCGCTTACACGAGAGAGAGCGACGGCTTCTGTTTACACAAAGACATCTCCCTCTGCTTCCTTATCATTTTCCCTCACTGCCAATCCCTCCTTCTCCCATTACCACTCCCTCTCCTCGCCTCTCTAGCACCTCCCAACCCTCTGTACCCCTCGTTCAATCGCGCTCTAAATCAGCTGTTTCTCTCATGCACACACATCTCTGCTTTGGTCATTTCCCTCAACTTTCTGTGAACTCTCATTTGCACGAATATCTTCAAATGGACTCATTGGCACGGACCTGACAGTGTACTGTACCTTTGTTGTTTGGGTTGAATCTAACAAACCTGCTTTTTTCTGTATTGATATCTGACTGACAAAATATAAGTGATATAATACCATCATTCAATACTTGAATACCTACAGTGTTATATCACTATTACTGTAAGTGCCTTGATACGATCATGTTATCATGGGTAGGTAACAGTGTCTGGAAAAAAGATTATTATGTAAAGGCTTCAATACAGCCAAGGGAAATACAAAACCTTTCAACTATTCAAACATACATTTATATTATAATATACATATGATTATTAATCACCTCCCACATGTACCTGTACTAGATGGCTGCTGCGATAAATACAAATTAAAATGACAAAGCTATTTAAATATATCTGATTAACAAAGTAAATTCATTGAAAACGGCAATGAGACAAAGTGAAGATAATATATTCCTTTTTCTAGCCAAGTGCTGTAAAACATCATAATTATGAAAGATTGTATTGGGGTGCCATTTAAAGCCATTCCATAAACAAACTGACTAGTGCAACAGTCAATAAGGACTTTTGAAACCGTCATAAATATACAAGTGTTAAGACTGAAACACTTCCACAGCTTTCCACAGGACTACACATCTGATGCGACATCCAGCTCTTCCTGGGTAATGCTATAAGAGTTAAATATGAACATGTTTGGTTTCTCCTCCTGTTGTGTCTGAAGCTGAAGTGACATACACTAAAGCTGTGGGAGGCTCGCTGCTCCTATCAGCTGTTTCCACAGAGCAGAAACCCCCCCACTCCCAACACAGCTGAATACCACTCCATGTGAAGACAAACTGTGAAGTTTAGAAAAATAAGTAACATTTAAATCAGGGAATTTGATGTTTGGTTGTAGGCGTGGAAAAGCACATTAATGTTTCAGCACTCTCAACGGGCCCAGAGTGCCGTCTGGCAGGCGACTATTACACAACGCTGCACTCACACTGCTGCAACTACCAACCTGCATGGAGGACCTTGCTGTGTAAAAACCTTTCGATAAACAGATTGACGAGTGCAACACTCAACAGGGTTTCAAACACAGTCATGGTCAGGGATGGCTTTGATCATTCAACACTACCTACGGATGGGACAATTCAACGCTTTTATTGCAGCTCTTCATTAAAACAAAAGAATCTTACAATAAGTTTGAGATCTTGGTGAGTTTATATTTCGGGATGATTGTGAACGTCCTCGTATGAGTGACTTGAAAAGAACGTCGCGCTTTTATGTTAGACAATTGAAAAAGCCTGATTCATCATGAAAGAAAGAACAGACTCACACATTTGGCAGATAATTGATAATGAAAATAAGTGTTAGTTGCTGCCCTAGCATTATCCAATTGAATATGTTCAGCTATTTCACAATTTGGAAAGCAGTGTAGGTTTATTATTGTTATATAACTGAGTTAGCGACCGTGTTGACCTACGCTGTACCTACAACATGGTTAGAGTATGTAGTCTAACATTATTGAGTGGGACACATTATTCATTATGTTGGCCCGGCATAAATGTCTGAAAGTTTTCCCAGTGTTGAAGTCAGTATATTTTCCTCCTTCCTCCCTCCATTTCTCTCTCTGCCGAGGACAACTGCCCCTGAGCCAACACATGATTACTGAAGCCCTGCGCTGGAATACAACGCTCTCCCATGACACCCAGCCTGCAACAGGCCCAACCACTGTTTCTCCCAGCCCTGTGTCTTTATGGAGGGGAAGGGGTCTGCTTCATGTTTGCAAGCACAAGCCCCGTCCCTCTCTTTCCAGATCAAAGGGCCGATAAAGTAGAGCAGTCTGATTTCTTGCAGACCTCCCATGCTCTGGAGAAAGGCAACAGGTTGGTGCCAGAGGCCCTCACAAAGTGCTTCCAATCCACTGAGTCTATTTGGGCAGAGATGTGTCTGCAAACGAGATACTCCGTCTAGCTCGTTATACCGAGCGTGTGGACTGTGTGGGGAAATGGACACATCTGGCGTGAGGAGTGGGAACAGACTTTCAGAGTTTACATCTTACTAAAGACATGCTAGACATTAACTCGGCTGTCTGGCCCCGACATTAAAAGTGGGATTTTGTGGGAAGTCCACCATACATTTCAGATGTGGAAAAATACCATTTGTTTTCTTAGCTGCCACAACCCATATCTTAACCTGATTAAAACAGTCTTTTCTTTAGCATATATTGCCTTGCCTCATGTAAGACAATCTTTGTTGAAGGAAATCTTCCCATACTGCAGCACTATCTGTCATTCTCTGCTCAATTAACGTGAACATAGAAAATAATTCAACTGTTAATTTATTACCTTGTCTGTCAAATGCCACTTACTGAGAATAAATACAATATAAGTAATGAGTTGACAGTGTAAAGTTTAACTGCGCAAAGTTAAATGCCAGATCTCAACAGTGACAGTGAGACACAATCAATCAGTCTGAGCACATCACTGATATTTATTACAGGCATGGATATATCAAGCCCACCTATTTTCGCCTCCTTTCAGTCAAGGTGACATGGAAGCAGTCAAAATTCCCAAATTCCTGTCCCTCTCATTGAGCTGCTGCCAGAGTCCCACCGTTAACTTGGATTTCTCCGACTCAGCAGGTGTAGGGGAACGAGTCCCGGCTATAATCAGCCACAGCCATCCAGTGTTTGATGCAGCCTGCTAGGAAACTGGCTAAACAAACTGTATTAATAGCTCGCGCTGCAGCCATGACTGTGGAATCTGAGGCTTGAATTGCCAGAGGGTAGGGGAGACCCCACAAAAAGAAAAAAAAAGCCACAGAGGGGGGAGGGAGGGAGTGAAATAGTGAAAGCCCGTCAGCGATGGATCAATTGGAGGATCAGGGATATTTGCTGGATCAAAGGTGAGGGCGTGTAAATGTGTGCTGTGAGCTTTAGAGAGCGGAGATCTGGGCAGTAGCTGGGCGGGTGCAGCAGCCAATATGTATTTATGTAAGCAAAGTGAACCTGAGATTTGGTCAATGGAACAAATGAAATCCTATATCCATGTGTGCATAACTAACCAGGCCTAGAAGCCAAATCCATGCTGTGCTAGAAAACAATACGGGATGGACATGGCATGGGCAGCTCTCTATAATTAAATCAAAAACTCTGTGCCAAGGTTATTCACCGTCTGTGTCATTTTTATAAACACTTGCCGTGAGGTTTTGGCTCAATGATGAAGACAAATTGAAAATCAAAAAAACAAGTCACTTGATGTCGTGTGTCTCAAATAAAGCCTCCAGAGCCACTGGGGCTGACAATCATTTTTGCAATATTACGCTCTTCAGCATCGTCAGTTAAATAATGGAATATAATAGAAAATACTTCAAATCACTGACATTTTAATCAAATGCTTGGACTCGTAAATAAAAACATACATGTTCAACAAAATTGTACTACAAAAAAACTACATTTATTCACCTATGTGATGTGACAATGTTTTAGTTGCTGTAAAGACCATTTCAATCGCAGTGATATCCCATATATCATGACTCAGAGTGGGTCAAGATGTTTGGTGGGACCGTCTGCTTTCTCGGGTGTAGCTTTATGTGATGGAATGAGGTACAACTCTGCCAAAAACATGACCTACATTCCTAATGAAGGTGTTGACATGCACGGGGATGCGGATCCTCTGGCGTCCAACAGCTCAAATTGCAATACTATGGATATCATTATTACTTGAGACTTTGACTTTTTTAGAGGCTCTTGTTGCCCAGACACAGATTATAGTCACATCACATTTTACTGCCAAAAAATAGACAGGAAAATATGTTTTGTGAGTTTGCAGGGATGTCAACGAGGTCAATGTCAAACTGAAATCCATTTACTCAAGTACTGTACTTAACTACACATTTGAGGGACTTGTACTTTGAGTATTTCAATGTGTTGCTACTTTGTACTTCCTCCCTCTTACAAATCAGAGGTATATAGTGTACTTTTACTCCAATACATTTATTGAATACCTTTAGTTACTTTGCAGATTTTAAATAATGATGTACAATATAATCAAGAAATTCAAAAGATACCAGCTAACAAAGTAATTCAAATGAGCTGGAACTTTACTATATTTGATAAACACTTTAATTAATTAACTATAATCAGAACATATATTATATTTGAGAAAATCTGCATAATGAGTACTTAGAAAAGTATATTTTGATGCCAATACCCAAGTACAGATTGTAATGTAAGACTCCTACTTGTTACAGAGTATTGTTACACTGTGGTACTTCTACTTCTACGACATCTAAGTACTTCTTGCATCTCTGCTGAAATCCCAAAGTCCAGCAAGCTCTAGTTCCTTCTTCCAGACATAGCCGATTGACTTGAAAAAAGTTTGCCTTCATGTCTGGCGACATACGGGCACACTTCGCCCTGCCTTTTCCCGTAACCAGACCGCCTTTTCTCCTCAGTAATTGGTTATAAGCACGTCAGTCAACGGTATCTAACGCACGCAACGCTTTGGATGCTGTCAATAACATCGTGTAGCTGAATCTCATTGGTTAGAAACCCGAAATCAACTTTTTGTATCCACGAAAAACTAATGGCTAGCTGGTGTGGCTAGCGTTAACAACAGGCCGAAAGCACATCCAAAGTGTGTAATAACAGCGCTACTACCAGCTTCAACGATGACAACTAACACACATCACAACTTATTTAAATATATCTGAGGTGAACTGGTATGTTTTAAAGGCATTAAGGGAAGTGAAAGTCACAAAAGCAAAAAAAAAGCTAACAGTTAGTTGGTTAGCGGACTGACACTTGAGTGCAAAGCGAGACAGTGGGTCCGAATGAAGCGCTGCCACCACAGTTTGACAATTAAACAGACATGTATCTTTAACTTTAAAAAACACCGAGAACTTAAGCGTCGATGGCTACTTTGTCATAGTTTAGTCCGGTCCACATATATATATTGAATTTAAAAGGTAATAAAGTGTTTACAAACTCACCCTTGCGCCCCTCTCTCTGGCTCCCCTCTCCTCTCCTCTCTTGGAATTTGACACTCCCCTCGACGTCAAGTCATCGCGAGAATTCACCTCAGTTCTCGCGAACAGGATTACTTAAATTATATAATTATAATAATTATTATAATTATTATATAATTTAAGTAATCCTGTCTATTATTATTATTAATAATAATAATTATTATTATTATTATTAATAATAATTATTATTATTATTATTATTATAATAGCCCCTACCTGTATTGCATACATACATTGCAAAAACTATGATATACAATATAGCAATTTAATTTATTGTCTCTTTTGTCATTGTTTAATTATTTCTGTTTTACTTCTCAGACACAAGGAATTTGATAATGTGCTTACCTTCTTTGCTGTCTGTAAATGTGTTGTTCAATAAAGAGGAGAACGTTTTTTTGTGTGTATAATGTTGAGAGGAGGGGCTCCTGAGGTTTACATTGTTGCCTTCTATTATTATAATAATACATACATTGTACCATGCTCTGTCAATGTAGACCCTAAATATAAACACACAAGTGTGTTATTTTAGTATACTACATAATATGTTTCCATTTTAAACCCAATTACTGTTGCATGATTTATTACAATTCACATGATGAAAGCAAATAGTTGAAACCATTGTGTGAACAAATGACCATTAAATTGAGGGAGGTCTTTTCCCCTCTTGCTATGGTTTCCTTCCTGATATTCTCCCCTTATTCTCTGTCCTTGGAAGAGTACGTCCTGACTGTGGCAGTACAAGGCAACATGCTGTATAAACCTCAAACAATAGGTCGAAACATTAATAATACAATTGGTTGGATTTGAGATTATGCTAGCCAGCCTCTGGTAAAGTGGTAAAGTACACCATTACCAATAGCTAACAACACCATTTCATCACTGTGTCTGGCCTTATGTACTGTATTAATGTATATGTATGTATGTATGTATGTATGTATGTATGTATGTATGTATGTATGTATGTATGTATGTATGTATGTATGTATGTATGTATGTATGAATGTATGTATGAATGTATGTATGTACTGTATGTATCTACAATTTGTCTAAATTGTTTGTTTATAGAACAGTATAACTTCATTACTGTTTTATACTCATTCGTGAAATCAGAGACAAGGCTATAGGGCCCCCTAGTGGACAATCAGACAGTTAAACATGCTTACATTGACTTCTGTTGGCCTATTTCTTTAAAGGGAGCCCTATAAAATACAAATACACAAGCTTTTAATTGACCATCTTAATGTTTTGCCAAGGTCACCACTGTTTTATGCCTGTGTTGTGTCATAAGTTCTTTAATGCCAAAAGTATTTGAAATATCTATTAACAAAGCACTTATATACTAATAAAGGACTGGCTTATCTAAAGCCAGATGAGTAGCACTTGAAATGTTTTTGCTCTATGAAGCCTGATGTACCTATATGATTCTGTTTTCTTCAAGTTTGTATTGTGTTGGTCGAACGCACTTATTGTAAGTCGCTTTGGATAAAAGTGTCAGCTAAATGCAATGTAATGTAATGTAATCTTGGAATCAGCTCCGAGTAAGAGTCAGGATTGTAAACGTATGATGGGGTTTCTCATATTGGAGCTCCTCAGGCTCTCAGATTAAGGCAAGGCAAGGTAAGGCAAGTTTATTTATATAGCACCTTTCAACACAAGGCAATTCAAGGTGCTTTACAAAAATGAAAGACATTCAGACAAAGGCATTTAAAAACAGTAATTAAAAAGAAAAGATAATAAAAGCAACATTAAAAGAAAAAATACATGAATAAAAAGTACATGAATAAAAAGTTACAGTGCAGTTTAAGATATGAATAGTTCACACAGAAGTTCCACTTTACTGATGTGGAACTGAACACAACGGCTCAGTTTCTATTACAAGCAGCGACAAAAAGATAAGATTAAAATGACTGTATATCAGTTGACTGAGTGCAGTAGTAATAGTGTACAGACACGTGTTGTTGTTGTTGTATGGCATGTTTGATCTCGTAGATAATGTTGTTTAGAGATCAGACCAGGTTCAAGTGAGAATTCTTCAGTTAAAATATTTGCTAAAATACTTGGCTTAATGGTGATAAAAGCCGATGAGAAGTCGGCAAATAGAATCTTTGGGCTTTTGGCGTCTCAAGGTGAGTGTGCAGAAGATGCAAGAGGGTTGCGATAACATCTTCCACCCCTCTAGAGGCCTGATAAGCAAATTGCATGGGATCTAAGAGGTGCTGCGTTTGTGAGATTAAATGCCTCTTAACTAAACACTCAAAACATTTCATTACCAGTGAGGTGAGTGCTATAGTAACTACAAGGCTAGAAGCATACACAAACTAAAAGTTGCATACAATTATGCTTTACGGTTGCTGCTGAGGGTACCAAGATGGCACAGTGCCAGCCAGCTGTTTGTTAACTTGGGGGTACCTACTTGTTAAGCCCTTTTAAGAAAATTAATGTACAAATTAATGTGTTGCCGAGAAGACTCGGACAATTATGTTATTTTGATTTTAATTAACCCTGTGAAGAGTTCTACCCGGTTCTCTTCCATGATTTGGAGACATTGGCGCAATAGCCTCTACAGACAGTGAGCATGTGTGGCTAGCTGTGATTGGACTGATTTTATGTTTTTATCTGTTTGTTTTTATCTGTTTTGTGTTTAGCTTTTTATCTTATTTATTGATGTGTGTTTTGTCTTTTTATATGTGATATGGACCTTGAGTCTGGAATAAAGATTGGATATAGGCCAAAAGTCATTGGGCTCACTGGCCCTGGGGATTTTAGGCACTGGAATAATTGTGGATGTTCTCCAAAGAGAAGGGACTTTTTGCAGATTAAGGGAGGACCTAAACATGTCTGTAAATGCAGGTGCAAGTTGTTCTGCACAGTGTTTTAAAACAGCTCCTTCAATATTATCCGGGCCAGGGCTTTTTCGTATATTACACTTCCTGAAGAGATGGATGACTTCTGACTCCTCAATAGCAGCCTCCCTCTCCTCTGTCATCATCCTTTTGGACCTGTCTGCTGCATTCGACACAGTGAATAATCAGATCCTCCTTCGCACTCTCCAAGAACTTGGAGTTTCAGGCTCTGCACTTTCCCTCATCACCTCATACCTCAAAGACCGCACCTACAGGGTGACTTGGAGAGGGTCGGAGTCCGACCCTTGTCAATTAACTACAGGGGTCCCTCAGGTCTCTGTTCTTGGTCCCCTCCTCTTCTCCTTGTACACATACTCGCTCGGATCGGTCATTAGCCCGCATGGTTTTTCATACCACTGCTACGCTGACGACACCCAATTAATTCTGTCCTTTCCCCGCTCAGAGACCCAGGTCGTCGCACGCATCTCTGCTTGTCTAGCTGACATCTCTCAGTGGATGTCTGCTCACCACCTCAAGCTCAATCTTGACAAGACTGAACTGCTTTTCCTTCCGGGAAAAGATTGTCCCACTCTTGACCTAACAATCAACATCGGCACCTCTGTTGTTTCCCCGACTCAGACTGCAAGGAATCTGGGTGTGACCTAGATAACAACCTGTCCTTCACTGCAAACATAGCTGCTACAACCCGCTGCTGCAGATACACGCTTTACAACATCAGGAGGATACGTCCCCAGCTGACCCAGAAAGCGACGCAGGTTCTGGTCCAGGCTCTCGTCATCTCACCCCTAGACTACTGCAACTCCCTCCTGGCTGGTCTACCTGCATGTGCCATCCGACCTCTGCAGCTCACCCAGAATGCAGCGGCTCGTCTGGTCTTCAACCTTCCTAAATTCTACCACACCACGCCGCTCCTCCGCTCCCTTCACTGGCTTCCGATAACTGCTAGAATCCACTTCAAGACAATGGTACTTGCGTACCATGCTGCGAATGGATCTGGCCCTTCCTACATCCAGGACATGGTTAAACCGTACACCCCAGCACGTGCACTCCGCTCTGCATCAGCCAAACAGCTCGCTGCACCCTCACTGCGAGGGGGACCCAAGTTCCCATCAGCAAAAACATGTGGGTTTGCTATTATGGCTCCAAAATGGTGGAATGAGCTCCACATTGACATCAGGACAGCAGAAAGCTTACACACCTTCCGGCGCAGACTGAAAATTCATCTCTTTCGACTCCACTTCGAGCGTTAGAACTATTAACAAAGCACTTATATACTAATAAAGGACTGGCTTATCTAAAGCCAGTTGAGTAGCACTTGAAATGTTTTTGCTCTATGAAACCTGATGTACTTATATGATTCTGTTTTCTTCAAGTTTGTATTTTGTTGGTCGAACGCACTTATTGTAAGTCGCTTTGGATAAAAGCGTCAGCTAAATGCAATGTAATGTAATGTAATAGTCATACTAGAGGGGAGGGGGGGAGGATGGAGGGGAATGACAGTGTCAGCCTATGCTGTTGCTACTCTCAAACCGGCAGAAGAAGGTGTTCAAATTATTTGCTGTATCCCTTCCCTCACCACTGATCAAGACAGGAGACGGTTTTCCCCTGCCATTGGAGCATTCGTCCATTCGCATTTTTTTAATTCCCTGCCATGCTTCTCTGGGATTACCAGAGGCCATGCTGCCTCCAGCTTCTCCATAGCTATACTTGTCTAACTGTATTTGTCTTTTAATATCTCTCTGTATGTCTCTCCTAGCAGACTCATCCTGGTTTTTATAAGCTTTTTTCTTCAGAATAATCAGCTTCTTTAAACTGTGAGACACCCAGGGTTTGTCATTCGAATATATTTTGAAAGAGTGGGTATCACAGAATCGACACAAAAATCAATATAACTAGACACTGTCCCAACCCGTTCATTAATATCGGGAGTATCGAATGTTTCCCACTGTGTGCAGTCAAAGCATCCCTGCAGAGCCATAATGCTGTCCTTATTCCACATTTTGACAGTCTTAACTTGAGGTTTCTCCCTCTCAAGTAGCCTCCGATAGACAGGGCGTATGTGGACTACACTGTGGTCAGATGTTCCAAATGGTGGAAGCGGGGATGCAGTGTAAGCGCCCTTAATCAATGTTTTTTTGTTTTTTTA